CTGACTATGTCGGGAGCAGTCTCTAGAAGTTCTGCTTTCGTGAACCAGCGGTCGTCTTCCGGTTCCTGATAGGCAAACCGGACTTTATACTGTTTYTGGGGACGACCTCTACCTCCTGTCCTAAACACATCCTCTTCTACGATGCCCTCGATGTCATAGCTCCCATCCATATCCGGTGGGATCATGGATCTCCTGGAAGGGAACTGTTGACTWGTGACACACGGCAGCAGCTTCGAAGCATGGAACACAGGGTATGTGTGGAGGTGTGCTGGAATCTCAATGCTGTAGGACGGTCCATCCTCTCCGCCCTTGACTTCTAGAACCGGCCACGGTCCTCTATATGCAGGCAGTAACTTTTGCGAGATGTTTTCTTCCGGTGCAAACTCTTTTGCTTTGACCCAGACTAAGTCACCCACCTGAAACTGCGATGGGCGTCGGTGCTTGTTAGCCTGCTCTATCATTCTGTGCTGGGCCTTCCGAATGTTCTCAACAACAGTGGCTAATTCCTTTTCGTGCTGTATCGCAAACTCCCTGGTACCGGGTGGTAATCTGTGAATCTGATCCCGGTTCAGTCCTTCGAACGGTCTGCGCGGTCTGAAGGACTTGTGCGACTCATTGGGGGTGCGGCAGGTGGATAGATGCACGCTGTTGTTGTATGCACTAGCTACCTTGGGCAACATCTCATCCCAGTTAATCTGATCTGGTCTAATGTACATGTGCAGAACTTGCTGTAGGATCTTGTTCATCTGTTCTGTCTGACCGTTAGTCTCTGGGTGACGGCCGGACGATATTAACAACTTAGATCCGTAGACTCTCATTAGTTCTTGCCAGTTCTGGCTGGTGAAACGATTGTCCCTATCACTAACTATTGACAATGGGATTCCATTCTCACTAACCCAAAAGTCAAAGAACTTTTGTATTACTAAATCTGTACGTGCCTCTGCAGGCAAGGGAACAAAAACTGCATACTTACTAAAACGGTCGACTATGACCATGACTTGGCTCTTACCATGTCTGCTCTTGACTTGCGTGTCCATGAAGTCTATGGATATCGAGTCTCCCGGCTGATCCGGAATAGGCAAGGGTATGAGAAGACCTAGGGGCGCGGGTGTAGTAGATTTATTCCTCTGGCACACTTTACAACTGCGGACATACTCTATGCAGTCGTTCTTCATCCCTGGCCATGTGTACGCACGCATCAGATTGGCTAACGTCTTTTGCCAACCGAAGTGTCCCTCAGTACCGTGACATTCCCCTAGAATCAGACTACGAGTCTCTTCGCTGTTGGGAACGCACAGGCGGTCAAACACATTAGTCTTCTCAAACAGCAACCCGTCTGTAGTGCGGTAATCTGGTTCGGTCTCTAGGGTCTCTCTAACTCTCTTTAGGAGGTCGYTATAGATAGGGTCCTGCGTATACGCTTGTTTCACTTTCTCCTGCAGGTCTCTCCCTATATCCAGATAATGTACTACGGCTCCAAAGTAGTTTGATCTCCTACTTAGAGCATCCGCCACTACATTGTACTTGCCCTTCACTGGCTTGAGCTCAAAGTCGAATTGGTCTATCTCGCGGCCCACCTAGTCAACTTAGGTGTCATCTTGGCCTGGGTCTTTAGCCAACGAAGTGTCTCATGGTCAGAATACACTTTGAAGTGCCTCCCAAGCAGATAGTGCTTCCAATGGTCTAAAGCCTGCCTGAGAGCGTAGAGTTCTCTCTCGTACGTGGAGGTAGCGACCTTCTCACAGGGCATCCTCGCTGACATGAACTCTACGGGTCTATAGCCATTGCCGTCGTCTTGCTGNGGGCTGGCGCTGTCTTCCTGTGTGAAGCGCCAGACCCATTCACACTATGAAACGATGATGATGATGTATGTTCAGGGCTGCATTACAACATTGATTGTTCGGATCACTGGTATCTGAGTCTTCCGCTGTGCTATCTTATACTTTGTATTGAAAGGTCGGTTCTTGTTCTGGTCTGCACCTATACGGTATGCAACACTAAGACTCCTACACTATAGACCTACAGATCGAACCCCTGCTGTCTATGGACCTACGACAGGTCTACCAACTGCCTACGAATACGCAGGTCACAGGTTCAATTCTCGGGGTCTACACAGATACTGTACATGGGTAGGGTGAGGTCTAGGGATCGAACCCTGGGTACTGCATCCGCTACTGCTAAAAGGTGAAAACCGTTTCATTATGTTTATTGTTTCAGATTTCCTCAGAGAAAGGGGAAGGGCCCTGCCAGGATGATTAGTTTGATCAGGCAGCCAGTGCAGGCTGAAGTGGTAGACCCCCCCCCCACATTTTCTCATTGCATGTACAGTGTGTGGGACGCTGGACCCGTTTTCCAGCAGGTGATGCTCCCCACTAATAGATTGGAGCCATCCCCTGGAGTGCTTGCTCACACCAGCACCATTAGCATGACCAGCAGATGTCAAAAAAAAAGAACAAAAAAAAAAAGAGATGGGAGTTCATGACACCAAGGCAACATG